TTTAAAAAATGAGAATATACAATTATAAACAATCACATAATAATAAGAGACATTGCTTTGCTGACAAAGGCCCGTCTAGTCAAAGCTATGGTTTTTCCAGTAGTCATGTATGGATGTGAGAACTGGACCTTAAAGAAGGCTGAATGCCAAAGAATTGATGCTTTTCAAAAACTGTGGTGTTGGAGAAGCCTCTTGAGAGTCCCTTGGATATCAAAGAGATCAAACCAGTCAATCCTAAAGGAAATCAATTCTGAATATTCATTGGAAGGACTAATGCTGAAACTCCAATATTTTGGCCCCCTGATGCGAAGATCTGACTTATCAGAAAAGACCCTGATGCAGGGAAAGACTGAAAGCCGAAGGAAAAGCAGATGACAGAGGATGAGATGGTTGAATGACCTCACTGACTTAATGGACATGAGTTTGAGGAAACTCTAGGAGATGGTGAAGGACAGGGAAGCCTGGTGTGCTGCAGTTCATGGGGTCACAAAGAGTTGGACATGACTGAGTGACTGAACAGCAATAATTCTATGTACTAAACTGTGAGTGATTTTAAAAAAATTGAAAATGCCAAATAACCATGAGAATTTGTCAAAATGAACACCCTGTTATACTGCTGGTCAAGTTATAAATTGTTCCTACATTCCTTGAAGCTAATTAGATTTCTAGAAATCTAACTTGAGAAATTATTTCAAACACAAGAATTTCTATACAATCCAGCCATGGCCATAATATGTAAAATGGGAGAAAAACTGGAAATAACTCAAAGAGTTAGGATGAAACATATTATGACTTTCTATGAAATGTAATGTTATAGATCATATTTTGGAGAGATTTCACAATGCTTTGGGAAAATTTTTCTTTTCAACATTTATCTGCAAAAAAGATACAGCATTGCATAGTTGTGGTTGACCTTTAAGTTGTGAAGGGTTTTTAGAAGATAGTTATTACTTTTATCATGAAAGTAACGAGTAATTTTTCATTTCTTATCTAACAGGGCTGATTTAAAGAACACAAAGGTTCTGTTGTAGATGACCTTTTCCTCAGTGTTGACTTAAATAACTTAGTCCTGTTCACCTTAAGTAACTAGATTCTGTCTCCAAATCGAACCACATATTCAGAACAGTTTAAAAATAATTACGAATGATTCACTGTGTAAAGCAGCTTGTTTTTTTTTTTTTTTTTTTTTGCTCTGACATATGTAGAAATCCTTCTCTTTTTGAGGAAAAATAATTTGGTCTTTATTATTCCAACACAGAGTGGGTGTCTGTCATGAATGAAAATGTCAATGTATTTTAATAACAGAATCTATCTTTTGGTATCACAAAGGAATTAATTATTCATGGCACCCACTGCAATGAGATGCCATTCTCCTGTGCTGCGTGCGGGCCTAACGTTACATTATTAATGTTCCCTATTTACAGACTCACACTGCGAAAGCAATTTCCCATAGACATGCTGAGGGTTTTATCCTGTTCATTTGGAACAATCAGGAAAGCGGTCATTCAACTGAATTATTACAGTGACGTTACAATTTTATGTGGTATTTTAGAAATAATCATGAAAAATTTGGCGGAGGAGTAAATCACGAAAAAGTGTTTTTGGAAATTACCACCAATTCTTGTGAACGTAAGAGTGTGAATGAGTGACAGTTGCTCAGTCATGTCCAGCTCTTCGTGACGCCATGGACTGTATAGCCCACCAGGCTCCTCTGTCAGTGGGATTTCCCAGGCAGGAATACTGGAGTGGGTTGCCGTTCCCTTCTCCAGGGGATCTTCCCCACCCAGAGATCGAACACAGGTTTCCTGCATTGCAGGCAGATTCTTAACCGTCTGAGCCACCAGGGAAATCTACTATTAAGACACATTTCTAAGTAGAAAGGCAGGTCAACTTAAAAAGTATCAACAGATACTTGCTTGACTTATTTTATAGTCGACAATGCATTAGATTATGTAATGAAACCATCCACCTTTTCCAAAGGAAGACCCGAGACAGAGGTAGCAATAAAGTTATAAATGACAATCATCAATCCAATGAAATAATTTAGATGAAGCTTATCTAAAGAACCCTGTATTCCCAAGGCCATGGGAGGCTCCTGGAAGTTCCCTGTAGGGCCTAAGATGCCTGCAGCTTTCTTAATTTTACTTCCTCTCCCACCTTGTCCCCACCCCCATCACACAGGCAAGCTGACTAGACCAGGAGAGATGCCCACACCTGCTGGGCCAATTAGATTCTCTGGCCAAGGAATTTGGAACTTGACACCCAGAGACGAGTTGTTATATAGTAATGACCACTGGATGTGCAAACTCATTTTGATCCTCAATAAGGTACACATAGAATGACCCAATGGCCTGGCAATTCTGTTCTTAAGTACATGCTCAAAAAAACCTGAAAGACATACTCAAATCAGTACACACTTACAGCGGCATTATTCACAACAGCTGAAAAGAGGAAATGACCCAACTAACTATCAACAGATGAATAAATACACAGTCACTGCTTCCACTTTTCCCCCATGCCTTACTGGTGGCTCAGCTGGTAAAGAACCTGCCTGCCATGCAGGAGATCTGGGGTCCATCCCTGGGTTGGGAAGATCCCCTGGAGAAGGGAGCATCAGGTAGCCATAGTATTGGAGTTTCAGCTTCAGCATCAGTCCTTCCAATGACTATTCAGGACTGATTTCCTTTAGGATGGACTTGTTGGATCCCCTTGCTGTGTTACAATGATCATATTCTGAGGCTCAAAATCTTGCCATCATGGACCTGCTTGGTTCCAATCAGTTTACGTTATGTCCTCGGGCTATGTCATTCTTTTAAAAGTTGTGCTCACACAATGAAATGTTGTTCAGTCATAACAAGGGATGATGTACTGATACATGTTACGATGTGGATGAACCTCAACATATTATGCTAATGAAAGAAACCAGTGACAAAGAGCACATATTACATGGTTCCACTTAGGTAAAATTTCCAGAATAGGTGAATCCACAGAGGCAGAAAACAGATTGGTGATTGCTAGGGGCTGGGGGAGAGGGTTTAGGGAGAATAACTGTTGACAGGTATCTTGGTCTTCGGGAGTTGGTGATGGACAGGAAAGCCTGGCTTGCAGCAGTCCATGGGGTCACAGAGTCAGACACGACTGAGCAACTGAACTAACTGACTTGTCTTTGGGGGCTACTGTAATAAGAAAGTCATCAAATGGTGGCTTAGAGACAACAGAAATTTATTTCTCATGGTTCTGGAGGCTGAAAGTCCAAGACCAAAGAGCTGGAAGATTTGGTGTCTGGTGGAAGCCTGCTTCCTCATAGAAGACTGTCTTCTATTTTGTCCTCACAGCGCAGAAAGAGCAAGGGATCTCCCTGGGGTCTCTTTCATAAGGGCAGTGATCCCCTCTCAAAGGCCCCACCTCCTCATTTCATCAGGAGTATCAAGTTTCAACATATGAATTTGGTGAAGTGAAAGTCGCTCAGTCATGTCCAGCTCTATACAGTCCATGGAATTCTCCAGGCCAGAATACTGGAGTGGGTAGCCTTGCCCTTCTCCAGGGGATCTTCCCAACCCAGGGATTGAACACCAGGTCTCCTGCATTGCAGGTGGATTCTTTACCAGCTGAGCCACAAGGGAAGCCCAAGAATTCTCGAGTGGGTAGCCTATCCCTTCTCCAGTGGATCTCTCTGACCCAGGGGGAGGTATTTATCCTTAGGGGCTTCCCAGATGGCTCAGTGGTAAAAGAATTCACCTGCCAAGGCAGGAGATGCATATTCCATCCCTGGGTTGGGAAGATCCCCTGGAGAAGGGAATAGCAACCTACTTCAGTATTCTTGCCTGGAGAATCCCATGGACAGAGGAGCCTGGTGGGCTACAGTCCATGGGCTCACAAAGAGTCAGACTCGACTTAGCAACTGAGCATACATACTTCNGCTCACAAAGAGTCAGACTCGACTTAGCAACTGAGCATACATACTTCCCCTTTGTCCATAGAAATGGGTATAGGATTTTCTTTTTGTTTGTTTTTCGCCAAGCTATGCAGCATGTGGAATTTTAGTTCCCTGACCAAGAATTGAGCCTAGTCCTCAGCAGTGAAAGCATGGAGTCCTAACCACTGAATCGCCAAAGAATTCTGGGGATTTTCTTTCAAGAAGATGAAAATGTTTTGGATTTAGAAAGAAGTGGCGGTTGTACGACATTGTGAATATAGCAAATGCCTCTTGGTTGCACACTTTAAGTAGTTAATTTTATGTAACATAAATTTCACTGCAGTAACAAGCAATTCACATAGAGTTGAGGTCAGGAGCTGGCACCTGGAGTTGCCAGATGGATACTAACAAAGTTCCATGGGAGCCCAGACTGGGAGCCAGCGGAGGAGATGGGCTGGAGAGAGGGAGGTGGATCAGGCACGCAGACAGGGCAAAGGGCAGCGGGCAGACCAGAGCCACGTGTGACCTGCCAGTCCCTACAGTCGGTTCTCCCAGCGTCCTCTGCAACCCCACGAATGCCCTGTTCTCTCAACTCAAATGGTTCTCTGCTTCTTACAACCTAACAGTTTCAGGCTAAGACAGCCTCTTTCCAGCAAAATCCTGGGGAGCTGTGTCCTGGCCAATAGACCAGCCCGAGCCTGCAGGTCAGGGGTCACGGCCGCGTTGTTGTCCCACTGCACCCAGAGTCTAACAAAGCAGGTGCTGGACTCATGTTCGCCGAATGAAAGCTCTGAGTGGGCACTGAAATAATGATGATCAGGAGCTTCAAAAGACGCCCCCTGCAATGAGAAGGCCCCTGCCAGAATCTAAGGTCAGAGACCCAGAGATTACAGACCTGGAGGCAGCCTGAGATCCGTCAAACCCAGCCAGGGCAGCCACGGCTGGCAGAACCACAGGGCCTACCCACGGCGTGTGTCGGTTTGAGCGGAAATCCGATCTGGCAGAAGAGCCGGCCGACAGGAAGGAGCTTCTCCCGCGGCTCCCGCTTAGAAGTGACGTCATCTTCCGGTGATTCCATTTGGGAAGAACCAGAGCTCCCCACGGGCGACCCCTCCAGGAGTGGACCTCGGCTGCCTGTCCCGCTCCGTCCACAGTGTGGGAGAAGAATCTAGGGACGGTGTGGTTAATCATAGCAGCCTCTGTCTCCACCATGCAGACCGCTGAGCACCGCCCAAACCCTTCCGGCGTCCTCCAGCGTGGTGCCTGATCCTTAGCGCTGCGCAGGCCCGGAACCCGGAACTGTAAGCACTGCCGCCTTACAAGTCTCTGATTCCAAACAGAATCAGGGTCTCTCTGGCCCTCCTTCCCTTCCATCATCTGACCACCCTTCTCCCGCTTCACAGTCTCCCTGGGCCGTTTCCTCCACTGAGTGCTTGCCCTGCTCAATTGCTTAGTCCAGTCCGACTCTGTGATTCCACAGACCATAACCCACCAGCCTGTTCTGTCCATGGGATTTTTCTGGCAAGAAGACTGGAGTGGGTTGCCATGTCCTTCTCCAGGGGATCTTCCCAACCTTTCTACTGAACCATGTCTCTTACGGCTCCTGCATTGCAGGCGGATTCTTCCCCACTGAGCCACCAGGGAAGCCCTTCTTCGCCTTTAATTAACATTTTGAACTGGTGACAATTTAACTTCATTCTGGTCCAGAACTCTAACCCAAGCTCCAAACCCACAGAGCTAACCATGTGTCAGGTCACCTGATACCAGCTGGTACCCAAGGCCATACATCCCTCCTCCTCAAATCTGCGCCTCACCTTGTTCCCTCAACTCCTCGGTGAGAAATCTGGGTGCAGCCCTTGTTTCCTCCCCCTCTTTGCCACCTTCCCCTGCAATCAAGTCCACAGCATGAATTAATTAGGCTCCTGAGTACTTTTTTCCCCCTTGGCCAGAGCTCTTTTTGTTCTTTACAGGAAAAATAAATTGCAAAAGAAAACATCTTTTGCACATTGCCCTGTTATGCAACTAATTTAGAGTTAGTTAGATACCAGAGGGAAAAAAATTCAGATAGGAGAGAAACCTCTGAAAAGAAGAGTAGTGCCTAAGCATTTCATCTTAAATGGTAAGCAGGGGAGGATACAGCTTTTGTGGGACCTGAAGCTATGCATTTTGGGAGATCTGTCAAATGTCTGTTAAGGTTCCTTCTGATGTGTTTTATGTAGCAGGCTGAGCAGACCTGCAGTCCAGACTGGAGCACAGTGTCCAGAGTGTCCTCCAGGAAACAAGAGTTCATTTGGAAAATTTCTCCTGTGGTATTCAGTTTTCCTGCTTGGGATTCTGTGTATCACAGAGTTCAGGGATGACCTTCGGCGGCTGTGGGCCTCTTTCCTGCCATAAGATGCTGGAGGGGTTGGGAGGATGCAGGCTAGATAAGTGAGAAGATAGATGGCCGTCCTGGAAGCACAGGCCCCTGGGTGTTTCTGGAACATTACTCCATCCACTCCAGGCCAGAATACTGGAGTGGGTTGCCATTTCCTCCTCCAGGGAATCTTCCCAACCCAGGGATCAAACCTGCATCTCTTATATCTCCTGCATTGGCGGGTGGTTTCTTTACCACTAGCACCACCTGCGAAGCCCTTCTTTCAAGTCAAGTCAAGCATTCCATCCACTCCACCCCCCGCGCTCCGTTGGCTGAAGGGCCTTCTCATTGCTCTCCTCCTAACCCGGTACCATCAGAACGATATCCTAAAAGCTCAGATTTAACCCCTGCTTGAAGTGATCCAGGATTTTGATGCCAGTGTGCAGAAACAAGTCCAGGCTCCCTGATCCAGCATCTTCACGGCCCTCCTTATTCTGTCCCCTTTCCTCTCCCCAGGAGTTCCTCTGGGCAGGTGTCTCAGCCCCCTCACATCCTAGGAACAGTGGAAGACAGTTTGGCCCCTTCAGATCATCTATCTTGATCCCCCTGGGCCTTTGCACCTGCCGCTCCCCAAATCCACAGCCTCATCCCTTCCCTGTCTGCTTGATAAACACCTGCCCCCTTTCCAAGAGGGTTCAAGGGCCAGGATTTCATGCAAGTGTTGACAAGCATTTGCCACGTGCTGTGTGGGGCACGGTGGACCCGGGCCGGGGCTGGCCTTCTAGAGCTGCCACTTCTTTGTAAGGAGGACACAGACAAAGGATGCGCAGTTCACTCAGTGCTGCCAAGGGGTGTGTCGGGGGAACCCTGCCCAAGATGGCCAATGATCCAGTTGACAAGCGCTGTCCTCGTTTTAGGAGCGACAGTCTCATGTCCCAGGAAATGGCTGGTCAAGAAGGAGGACCCAGAAGAAAAGTCAGTGTTAAGCAGAAGAGATGGCAGGAAGATGCAGAGATGTTTCCAGGTAGCTGACCCTGCCTGGGTGAAGGGGCAAGGGTTGCCTGAACAGGTAAGTTTGAGGAGCAGAAGAAAGTCTGGTATATCTAGGATGAGTCAACCTTTCTGGAATAACCCCACTGCCCTCATTTGCCACATCTAGCCCCCAGAAATGACCCTTCTCTCCTCTGAGGTCCTACAACACATATGCGTTTTAAATAGTTTAAACAGTTTTAAATAGGCTTTTTGTTGTTTAAACTATATATCCAGGAAAGTCTAAAAATATTAAAGAAACATGCACATAAATGACTGCCTAGCAGGACTTGAACATTAACTGCAAATAGTAAAGAAGTGAAAGTTAGAAATGCGTCACATACACATTTTTTAACTTATGACTTCATTTGCTAACTTTACCAATTTTCCTATAAGTGAGTTCAGGCCAGAGCTCATTGCCTAAGCCCATGTCTCTAGGGTTAGTAGCATGAATGTAGTAAACATTTGCAGGATGAATGACACTTGAATTGTGCTTGTTCGTTCCCAGAGCACCTTTCAAGCACCCCTTGAATTAGAACCGAATCAAAGCAAAGTTATTTTTATATGACAAGCAGAGAAGTGTTAATCCCAGGGATGTCAGTTTCCAAGGCTCCCTGAGACACCAGGAGAGCAGAAGGCAGGAGACCCAAGACCAGGAGCATTTAGAGACAAAGGATGGATGTGAGAGAAAAGAAAGTTATCATGAGCTCAGGCTTTGACGAAGATTGTAGATCAAACTGAAATGACGTGGGGCTTTGTTCTCTCTTTTTGTCCTCAGACCCTAAGGCCCAGGAAGACAGAGAGTGTCTTGGTCTTGTTCACCTCTGTGCCCTGAACTTCCAAGAGCAGTTGCATTTGATGACTTTGCTCAGCCTCCACCCACAGCAGTCACTTAAATAAAAGCTCCTTGCTCGAAGTGTGGTCCATGAGCTGGAACCCCATCCCAGACCTATGGCTCAGAACCTGCATCTCAACAAGTTTTCTGTCCCATGAGTATTACCTTTTGAGAAGACCTGTTTTAAAGGACAGCCTAGGTTGACTATAAAATCAATTAGCACTGAGGCTTCCTTGCCCACCTAGAAAATGTATCTTTCATCTTTGAATCCCCTGCTCAGGTGTTCTTTGTACGAGAAACTTCCCGGACATCTCTCCTGTTGCCATCACTCCGTCTGTCAGTCTGCGCTATGCTCGCCCTTCTGTTGAGACATTTATCACACAGCGACTCAGTTTGGTTTCCCTGCCTGTGTTGCCTACCAGATGGGTTAGCCAGACTGAAGTCCTTGAGACGAGAGAAGGAATCTTATTTTTCTTTGCATCCCAGGCTCAGTTCACACTGAACTAATGAATGATTTGCCTGGTGTGTGCTGGCCTGTGGGCTCTCCCTTAATCCCAAACTTCACCAAGAGAAGTTTTCCCGCCTTCCTTCCTTCTTTCCTTCCAATGGAAATGCAGAAACTCAAGAAATATTCCTTTTGGTGGCCCAGCCTACCAAAATTACTTTTGTACTATCATAATTAGGTAGAACATATCTTCAAAATGAATAAGCAAATTCCCAAAGCGATTCCTCAAAAGACGGCAGTAAAGAATGCCATGGCATTTTCAGGGGCTTCATGATTTCGTAGCCTCTTCCAGGTAGCGAGGAGACTGGCCACTTAATCCTTCCAGTAGTAACGTGTCCTCATCCATGTGAACCTCTGAGGAAGTGATGACAAAATCTAGGGATTCAAATAGAACAGGATGTGTGTGACATCAGGCTTGGTGTTTATGCCGCAGTCCTTACACAGATCGGCATCATGCACTGGGCCTATGAGCTCCTTGAAGACACCAGCTCTGCCTTGGACATCTGAGTGTGCCTTGGCACTTGACGTAGCATCCAGCTCAGAAGAGACTCACAGAGACGCTCATTCCATTGAACACAGGTGTCACAGGGTTCCAAGTCCAACTCTCTGTGTGCCCCAAGCAAAGCACACAACCTACGCTAGATCGTTGTCTCTGTTACAAAGCCATGCAGTTAAAACAGCTACATCATCTCTGAAATCACATAGACCTCAGAAACTAGAAGAACTACAGCCATCTTCTTTGATTTGCTCACTTCTGTCTGAAGTGCCAGTGAAATTGCCGATAATTCATGTGAATTAGTAAGATGTTATCATTTTGTTAACTAAAGTATAAAATGATCACTAAATAACTAATGTTCTCACTATAAGGGTTTTTTTTTTTCATGGTTGTTCATAAAATTCAAAAGGAAACCATCTTGGAAAAGTAAAATAGAAAAGATATGGAAATACAAAAAACCTCGAATAGCCAAAGCAATCTTGAGAAAGAAGAATGGAAATTGAGGAATCAACCTGCCTGACTTCAGGATCTACTACAAAGCCACAGTCATCATGACAGTATGGTACTGGCACAAAGACAGAAATATAGATCAGTTGAACAAAATAGAAAGCCCAGAGATAAATCCACGTGCCTATGGACACCTTATCTTTGACAAAGGAGGCAAGAATATACAATGGAAAAAAGACAACCTATTTAACAAGTGGGTCTGGGAAAATTGGTCAACCACTTGTAAAAGAATGAAACTAGAACACTTTCTAACACCATACACAAAAATAAGCTCAAAATGGATTAATGATCTAAATGTAAGACCAGAAATTATAAAACTCCTAGAGGAGAACATAGGCAAAACACTCTCTGACATAAATCACAGCAAGATCCTCTATGACCCACCTCCCAG